GGGGATGTCTGAGGTCCCTTGCAGCCGGGCCAGTGGAGTTCACGGACTGTTGAAGAGTGTGGGAGGCTGGAACTGGGAGGACAGGAGCAACATAAACTGGGGTCGTAAAGAGGGAGCAGCCCAGAAGGCCAGGGCCTGTAGTGCACTTGTGGTCTCTTCCAGAGCTCCTGTCGTGGGCACTGGGTGACAGGGGGCAGGGGGTTGTCTGGGCCCTTGTTACAGTCTGGGACCTTGTGGGGGCTCTCATGGTGGGTATCTGCATGCCTTCTTTTTGGCCTTTCTAGAGGGGCTCCAGCACACACGGGTTTAGCCTGTATGGAAAGGGCTTCTCTTCCGGTGGGAGATCTCAGGCCTGAGACTAAGAAGCAGAGACCTTTGGAGACAGAACTCCTCTCTCTGGGGGATGACTAAGAAGACTTCCTAAGGCCGTCTTCCGGACAGAGCAGGTGGCCTGGGAGTGGCACTCCCCACGGTGGAGGTGGTGGAGGGAAGGCCGGCAGGAGACCACAGGCAGGCCAAGGTGACCCTATCAGACTCTTCCCAACTCTGCAGTTGCTCCTGTTGGTTCCAGTTGGCTTCCTAGTGAGAGATGGAAAGCCAGAAGGGAAGATGGGGTCTTCAGGCCCCACCTGTGAATCAGACTCAAGGGTCTGCAGAGTGACAGCATGTGCAGGAGACATTTGCCATCGCCGAGTCCCCGACTGGCTCCTGCCTGCTCTTAGGTGTAGGGCTCAGGTAGGCTCAGAGCCAGATCTTCAGTCCCCAGCTCCCACCTGCTGCAAGTGCGGGGCGGACATCCCCTCCATGGCTGAGCCTTCCCATGGTCCATTTGGTGAGACAGACCCGGGAGATGGCAGGTTTGATTAGGGTAGTGCGGCAGTGTAAATGGCAAGAGGTTTTGGCTCTTAGATTGCATTGACCTTGAAACAGATCTTGTCTGGGTACCTCAAGGGATTGAGGATTGAGCTTTTCTCCTCATGGGAAAGTTCTGCCTTGTGTCCGTCCCTCTCCAGACCTCCTTGAGTTTTTATAGAACTCTATAATTTCCCCAAGGTTTGTCACACTGTTTGCTGTTGTTTGGCAGATGACTTGGCAGGGGGGGTGGGCAGAAAGTATGATCCTAAATGTGAGTGCACAGGCAAAACTGGGGTATGGAGACCTGTCACTCACTTTGAGAGGGGCTCAGGGACTCTGCAAAAAACCCTGAACTTGTCTCCAGATGCCGTAGGCTGAGCCCATCACCAGTACTGTCTCCTGTAGTTTGAGGTCATGAATCTTAATTTGTAGTGGCTAGAGGCGGGGGCAGGGAGTAGCTTTGTGACTCATGATGTCACAGAGGCAAGGGAACAGAAAAACCACAACTAAGGGACTCCAGTTGGCAAAACCCAAACTGCTTCAAACCTATTCTTGGAAACTACAGCATCACATCTTGCTTCTTCCCAGAAAATGCAGAACCTTTCATCCTTCTGGATGAAATAATTGCTTCTATTTCTAAGACACGTCAAACTCCAAAAAGGCAGCAGCTGGGTGGTGATAAACAAGACTTGTCCACCCAGAGCTAGCCACCCAGGGTCCTCTGAGCTAATGCACTCTTGACCTGCTTCTTCTAGGGGGGCGGGCAGGGGAAAGGTACCCACTAGAGGCAGGACACCCTTGATGCTCAGATTCCCTACTCCTCCTGAGGGCTAGGTCGACCCTTTCCAGTTCCTTAGTGGCACCACCCTGCACCCTGTGTGTTTTCATCTCCTCACCAAGATGACCCTGAGTGAGGTTCCCCACTTGACATATGAAGAACTTAAAACTCAGTTCAATGACTTGCCTGGAGCTACAGGGCGAGGAAGCAAATTTGAACACAGTTAACTAAGCTAAGTTATCAAAAATCATGTTCTCTTTTCCCCTTCCTTTTGGGTTGAGGGTGTTTGGGCCACTTGAAGAATAGTAATGAGTGCTAGGTTGTCACATAGCAGCCAGGAGCTAAAGACATCGTATACCTAATCTCCTTTATTCCTTACCACCCTAGAAAGTAAATAGTATTGTTCCCATTTTACACATGAGACAATTGAGGCTGAGGCAGGTGAGAGAACTCACCTAGGGTCACAAAGCTAGTACGTACTTGAGCCCAGATTCCTACCCAGGTTTGCCTGACTCAAAATGTTCTGTTTTCCCATGGGGAAAGCCACCCACTGTGAATGTTAGCATCATCTTTTAAGTCTCTGCCTCAAACTGGCAAGCTGATTTGAAAGGTTGAGATTTGACTCTTGAAATCGAGGGAGGCAGGTCTGAGCCTGGTACGGGCTGTGGGGTACATGTCCAAGGCTGCATTTATCTCCTGCTGTCGGCCCATCTCCATACACTTCCCCTTATCTCGCCCCAGATAAGAGCGGGTTCCGGAGCTCCCACGCCCACCCAGAGCCCTCAGCACCACCTTTGGCTCTTTCTCCACCGGAGCCCTAAGATTAAGTCGTGCATTTTTCTTTGGAGGGAGGAGACGAGTTCTTCCAGTTTGTAAATTATTGTCTGGGAGTCCGATCTGCCTTGATAGTGCCAAACAGCGCATGCTTTTAGACAAGGAGGAGCTGGCAACTGGTAGCGTTTTGATTTTCAAAACTTATTTTTTCAAACTAGTGCACCCCCCAGATACAAATCTGCCTGCGTGATGGACGCAGCAGCATGAGTACATCTGCTGAGCCTCTCCCAGGGCCAGGCTCTGCCGACACCTGCATTTCTTTCTCCCTCTTCACAGCAACCGTGGAGGTGGAGACATCATCCATCTGTTGTTCAAGAAGAAACTGAGGCTCAAAGTCTCAGTGGCTTGTGTGAGGCTGTGTGGGTAGCAAAGGGCCAGGCCAAGCTCTGGACTCAGGCTCCTGAGGCCCCAGAGCCACCTGGCCATCCTTGGAAAGGACCGCAGGAGAGCAGTTGAATGCAGGCGGTCTTAGAGTTGTCAGCCAGTTACTGCGTCCTTTGTTCCTGCTGGCACAGAAGTGGTTCCAAAGATAGAGAGAGCCTGAGAATGTGAATATGCCCAGAAAAGCAAACGAGTCCTACTTCCGTTTATGCTTTCTGGGTGGCAAGTGTGGCACGTGGGGGAAAGTCAAGACACCAAAGGTGGCAGTGTTTATGTGAGTAGTGCCAAGGGAGCTCAGTGGACATGAAAGGAGCTGGGGCAGCATCCACAAAGGAATCCAGGTCTCATCTGGGCCAGGCAGAGCACCACAGAGCCAGCCCTTCCAGCCTGTGGAGCATGTTGAGTGGCATGGGCCAGGGCCCCCAGGTGGGACCTGGAGCCTGGTTGAGGCGTGCCAGCCAGCCAGGAGCGTGTGCTGGTCTGCCTTCAGCTGAGCACAGGGCCAGGCACACTGGAAGATCCCAGGGGAGGCTGGAAGGGAGGGCAGGGTTGGTGCTCCTGGGCACTTCCTTGACCTGTCCTGGACATGCCCTCACACTCACCTTCTCTGAATTGCTGAACCCTTGAACTTGCTGTCATTTTGCAACTTTACGACTCTTTCCAGATTCGTGCCTTGTAGGGTCTCTCCTTTGCCTGGAATGTCACTCCCGAGTCTTGTAGTGAGATCCTCCCATTCATAGGACTGGAGCTTCTTGAGCCCCTTGCGACTCCTTGAGCTCTGCTAGACACCTGCTGCTCCGGCTCCGCAGTACTCTGTTCTTATTCCACAGCACTTGTCTATAGTCCTGTCATCAACTGTATGGTCCTGTCTTCTTGCCAGGCCAGGCCTGAGCCTGCATTGCTTATCTCTCCATCCCCATCCCCTAGCATGATGCCCGGCGCACACCTGCTGCGCCTCCAGCAGCTGCTGAATGAATGAGTCAGAGATCAGGGAAGGTGAGAACACTTTGCTTCACTCTTAGAATTATAAGCCAACCTATGATCCAAATGTACCCACAGAAATGTTCTGGGGGGGTGAAAAGCTCTGTTGGAGAGCTCAGTTCTGGTGAGTCCTTTTGTTTACAGACCCCACAAAAGGCAGGACCTCTTGACCACTGTCCAGCCCTGGCCCTGCCCCTCTCTACACTGGCCTCCTTGCACTAGCTTTGGATTCCAGAAAAATAGCTAGTATTTTGGAAAATCAGCTCTACTTTATTTTTGTTCCTTTGAAACTTCAGTGACTTTCCTAAGGCATGCCTGAGGGTGGAGTGGTGCAGAGAGAAGCGTCCATGCCAAAACCCTGGCGAGCTATTTTTGTGAAGTGAATGAACATCCGCTGGATTTTTCCCTTCCATCAGCCTGAGCACTTGTTCCAACCAGCTCGGCCTGGACTTAACAAAGCACAGACTCCTTTTGTCCATTGGAAAGAAGAGGCCCACGTGTCTCTCTCCCGTGTTTCTGACTAAGGTAGATGGTGTACTTCTAGCAGATTCTAGAAACAGAAGGAAGTTTTGAGAAATTGCAGTGGGTAACTTGTCTGGGGGAAAACACCTGCCCTCTGGTAACTAATGAAGAAAGATTTTAAAGTTTCCTGGTCCGAGCACAGGTGGAACTATCATGAGGCCTGGTGAGGTGTGCTCTGGGGTTTTTCCCGTTCACTGATGTCATGGGCTAGGCTGCATTCATCTTAGTCAATCAAGTCGCTGCACCAAGAACAGTAGGTTTTCAGTGGTATTAAATCTAGCGCATTTTTTTTCTGTCTTTCTCCTTCACCACTCATTATTTCCAGAGCCATCTGGCTTGTAGCAAGATCGACCAGGTACCGTTGACATGAGTCAGGGTATATATAACTTTGCACAACCTGTGTTTCTTTTCAGCCAGGGAGAGGAGTGAGTGGGTGCTGGGGAGAAAGACTGGTAGTAAGGCATCCTTGCCGGGTTAGGGGGTATGATGTACACCTTCTGGAGATGGTCTAGGTTTAGCATTAAGTATAATGAATGAAGATGGGTGTTTTAGTGTCTCAAAGGAATTTCATCACTTCCTGTCGGCGCCCACCCTCCACTCTCCCCTCACTGCCCATGCACCTCACCTCTGTCTCCACCCACCTTTGCAGGTGTGACGCTTCTCCTGGTGTTTCATGGTGATCCCCTCTGTCCTGTCTGCACCCTGCTCCACGTGGCTCCTGAACCATGGGGGAGAATGAGGACGAGAAGCAGAGCCAGGCCGGGCAGGTTTTTGAGAACTTTGTCCAGGCTTCCACATGCAAAGGGACTCTGCAGGCCTTCAACATCCTCACCCAACACTTGGACCTGGACCCTCTGGACCACAGAAACTTCTACTCCAAGCTCAAGTCCAAGGTGACCACCTGGAAGGCCAAAGCCCTGTGGTACAAATTGGACAAGCGAGGCTCCCACAAAGAGTACAAGCGGGGGAAGTCGTGTATGAACACCAAGGTAAGGGGGACCGCCAGGGAGACGTGTCTCACCCTCGTGGGACAGGTGGGTTGGTATTTGGGAGTTAAGAGGCAGCTGCCCTTCTGCTATTTTGAAGCTCTGAACAGATGTGGGCGTGAATGTTGTATTGTCATGCTCGGCTGAAGGTTTCCTTGGTCTGTGTGCTTAGCTTGTCCTGGCTGGGAGTTTCCACATTATCCTGGTGGTCTCAGCCACCCTTCTGGTGTCCTTTCCAAGGGAGAGAAACCAAAGGCCAGGTGAGGGAGTGAAGCAAATCTTTGCTTTTATCTTACTTCTGCTGTTACCATGACCACAGCTAACCTCTGATACTCACTATTGATCCAGCAACTCCTGTGGGCTAGGCACTTTATATCCATGATCACACGGAACACCTGCAGGAGTTCTGTGGGCCATTTTAGAGAGGTGGAAATGGAGAAGCCAATTATACAGGTCACACAACTAGAAGGCAACTTGGGTCTGTTTGATTCCTGGGCTTCAGCCCTAAATTCCACCCAGAGGCTTAATTAAAGAGATGTGTTCCCCGGGAGCAAACCCTTAGAAAGATCCCCTGGTTTTTAATGAGTTGGCTAAGAAGTAGGTCTGTGGTCCCTACCTCCTTTTCAGCCCTCTTCTTTCCCTCCCTCCCGACACCTCTCGGTTCTCTACCTCCTTTCCTGGTCTGCATGTCTCTGCTCAGGATTGCGCTCATAGTTAATCCTCCACAAATATTTGCATCCTTTATCATTTGGCTTTAGGCTGCATCCGTGAAGGCAGGGCTGACCACAAAATCACGTCTCTGGCATCTCCAAAATGCCCACCACGCAACGGGCAGCTCAAAGTCAGACTTGCCAGCTGGCCCTGGGGGGCTCTCGGCTCTGGGCACAAATCCAAGCCTTGTGTTTAGGTTGAGATTGGATGTGCTGTATTTAGACCTCTCAGGAGGTAGCTCAGCCAGAGCCCTTGGAATTCCAGTCAGTGCCAATCCCAGGACAAGGGGATTGAACTCTCCATGGCAATCAGCACTGTTGTGTTTTTGTTTTGGTGATGGAGGAGCTGTTGAGTCCACCGTGGGATACGGCTGCTTTCCATTGCTCTGGGGAGACAGCTGTCAAGCTCCCCTGAGCCTGGGATGCACTGACCGTCCAGGGCATAGGAAGAACATTCCATCAGGCTGTGGCACCAAACAGACAGCCCAGGGCGCCTAGCCACCCAGGCAGTACCCACCATGCTCCAGCCTCAGGCAGAGACAGGGCAGTGGTAGGGAAATAGAAGAGGAGGAGAGGTGGGACCAGTGTCCTGGCTGAACTTCCACCCAGGGTCCCCTGCCTAGTTGTAACTTCATGGTTTCTATTCAGGTGCAGCTCTTCAGGGTTAAAGGGGTGGGGGGACTTGTAGCATTCAGTGTTACCCTTCTCAGTCCTTGTATAAAGTAGCTTTCTTAAAAAAAAAAAAAGTTTTGCATTAGGTCCTCCTCCAAGATAAAATTGAACAAACCAGTAAATAAAGTCAACATCTCCCGTAGAAAGAATGGCCCAGCTGCATGGTGCAGTCTCGGGAGTTTTCAGAATCCTGTTTTATTAGGAAATATTAGCGCCCCACACACCCAGCACTCTGTGGGTCTGCCTTGGAGATCTGAGGGTGGGTCCCCCCAGGGCGTCAGCCAGCAGGGGGATGAGTGGAAGGTTGGCCACCTTGAAGATGTCCTCTTCAAAAATCACCAGCCGGGTGTTGCCTGGTTTGTCTGGCCAGCCCCCGTTTTATAGGCTTCGATGGCATGAAGTGGCAGAGTCCTCACTTCTTGTGGCTGGCACCTGAGATACAAAGGGAGAGAAAAAGTCTTTGAGTTTGTGAGGTTGAGTAAGGGTGGTTCTTTTGAGGAGGAACAAAGACATTTCAAATGTGTGATAGTCTGTCTCATGAAAACCCTGGGTGCTGAGAGTGGGGGATACATTTGAAAATGCACCTCGAGGGTGGATTGTGACTGTGTGAGGTCACTTGAGCTGCACACTTCAGAAGCCCGGCTCAATCTAACCAGACAACACGGGGAAATCATTAACTCATGGGACAGGATGGCCCAGACCCAGTCATTTCCATCCTCCCTCCTTCCATCTGTGTCTCAACACTGTGCTCTGGGTTGATTCCTTTCCTCCTCCCTGGTAGACAGATTTTCCTCCTCATTGGTAGCTTCTGCTTCATATATTTTGTAGGTTCATGATCCAAAAAGACTGGAATCTTTATCTTCCAGCTCAGAGTTGAAAAAATCTCAGGGAGGATTTTGATTGTCCACCTCTGGTTTTATAATGGTCTAAGCCAGCGGAACTGGCCGTTGTTATTGGCAGACCTTTCATGAATCATGATTAAGGTGAGGGAGGAGCAGGTCCCTGAGGATGTGGGGGTACAGGTCCCAAACAATGTGGGGGTGAAGAACAGACACAGACATCCTCTACAGTGACTGCTGTTGTGGTCCAATCCCGCCATATTGGATCCATGTGTGGGTGATTAACGCTCAGCTCTCCAAGGCCAGTGCTTATCTGCCTTTTTGTGAGGCGAAACCCTAGAAGAGGGATCCTGTCTCTCTTCACATGAACAGATACATCACATTTAGGTTTCCTCTGGTGTCGTGGTGGACGCTTAGTATTAGCCACACAAGAAATGCTGGGCATTAGCATACAGTGGCTGATCATAAATGCTAAGCCAGATATTGCAGGTGTGGCAGGTGTGGGGCCTAAAGCCAAGCATCTGGTTAGCCACAGGTCTTGTGGAAATAAATGCAATCCAGCCAGACCCCTACCTCCACACCCATGTGGACACCTCTCCACCATCTGGAGTGCGTCTGTGCTTCAGCAGTTCACAAGCATTTATCAGGCCCTGGCATTCACACCCACATACCTGTGCTAATAGTGGTGGTGGGAGACTGGGGACCAATATCTATTCGGAGCAGGGGGGCTCTGACGGAGGGGCCAGGAGACAAGAGAAAGACTTCGGAGGCCTCTGGAGCAATGGTGCAGGTGGCAGTTGCATAATGCAGCTGGAGATCATTGTTCATTATTGGTTTTTCTTTATGAGAGTTTCATCAGGCGCTTAATAATTCTTTCCCTGGCTTCTGTCTTCCCACATAAACAGACACTGTCTTGTTCACAACCCACATTTACGTTTCTTGGGTGTGACTCGATAAGAATGGGGTGAATCCAAGAATGAAGCCAGATTCACTCATTTAGAACAGATATTGACTCTGCCTTTGAGTCACATTTGGGTCAACTGTCACCTCCAATGGGGAACTGTTACCTGAGAAAGCAACCCAGTAGAACCTGGGATCCATCATGGGGTGTAGGATCGCCATATCACAAGAATCTCGGTTTCTTCATTTTTCATAGGAACCTTTAGTGCCAGGAGGAACTTAGGAGAATGTGCCATCTCTGCATTTGACAGGTGACAAAAGGGGGTCCCAGGAAGCTAACGCTCCTTAGCTGGAGCCAGCAAGCGACACCACTGGGGTTTGGACTTTCTTCCCTGGCTTGCTCTTAGGTTCTTTTGTTCATTCATCCAGCAGCAGGTGTGTCTAGCTCCTGATCAGACAGGAAGGATGGTTTATAAGATGCATAAGGAGCACTTCCCACATGAGCTTTCTGTAATGGAAACAGAAATGCACTTATTTCCATATTTATTCGCTGATTTAATAATTCCCGAGATGAATAATTATTCAACACTAAGTAGCTAACAGGTGCCAGGCCCTAAGTATCTAACAGCCAATTAACAGCTCTGTGGCCTCAGGCAGGTTACTTAATATCTCTGTGGCATTCTCTGAAGACAATAATGGTCCTTCTGCTTTATAGTTATGGTAAGGACTCAATCAGGTCATCTATGTAAAGTGCTCAGGAAGTTGCCTACCATATAACAAGTGATCAGCAAATATTTGGCCATTATTATTGTTAATGCTGTACGTGCTGTAAGAGGTGTGCACACTGGCATGCGGGAGTATAGAAAAACAAGTGACTAACCGTGACTGGGGTAGTTTGGGAAATGCTTCCGGGAAGAGGAGGAGTGATGTGGGGCTTGACAGACCAGTAGGATTTTGCCTTGCAGAGCTGAAGGAACACCAGCAAAGAGGTCTAGTTTAGGGAGGGTATTGCTTGTGTCAACGGGAAAGCAGGGGTGCGGGTGTGGGGAGGGGTGAGAGCCAGAGAGCAGAATGCATGGATGAGGGGGATGCCAGGGACAAAGAGCTCTTGGGTGCCAGGCTGGGAGGAGAGGTGTCCGAGTCAAAGCAAGGACCTGGAGCAAGGAGCCCCAGCCCTTCCTGGAGTGGACACTCCCACCTGTCCAGCCTGGAGCTCTTGCTACCACCTCCCACAGTATTGCTCAGTAATCACAGGTGATCTTTAGGGACCAGGAGCCATTTGTATACCAGTGCCCCGGAAATGACTCCTGGACATAATGAAGACTCCGGTGCTGTCTCTCTAGAAGAGCATGTCTGTATTTTGTGGGGTCACTCCACACCTTCTGCTCCTGAGCATGACCCTGGCCCAGCTGTGCCTCTGCAGCACCTCCTGAGTGTGGAGCCGGGCCTCTGACCAGTTCTCATGGCCCCGCTTGTCCCATGGCTCCTGAGTCACCTTTTAGCAAAGCAGGAGGCAGAGAGGTAGGGCGAGAGGGGGTTAGGGTGGAAGGGGTGAAACTAGGAGTAGAAGACAGCAGCTATCTGTCGGCCTGGATAAGCCTATCTGACATTCCTGGCCTCTGAAGTCACCCACTGAGGCTGCACTGGTCGAGGCAGGTCAAGTACCACGTTGCCTAATATGGACCATTGTAGTCCCAACCGATAAAGCAGAGGTTGGTCTCTGGGGTGTGGAATTCTGCATTCAAGGAAGAAGGGGAGATGGACTCTGGGTTTGTCCACTTACCTGACGGTGGACGGCCCATGCCACTGCATTAGGCAGGTTTGCAAGCCTGGCCCCAGACAGAGCTGGAGTCACAACTGCTCCGCCTCTGCAGCTCCGTGG